TAAGCCAGCGCAGCCGACTAGGGCACGCAGCAGGCAATGGGCGACGCAGCGCTCAGACCAGCACAACATTCAGAACAGTCAGACGCCAGTTTGAATCCCTATCATAAATATTTAGTCCAAACACAAGGACAACAAATCCACCTAAGGCAGCGGGCTAACGCGCAGCAGGAAGGAAGGCCACAAGAAATCCACAAACCCGAACAGGGGTGAAGTAGATGCTGATGGCTTCAGGATTGGACCTATCCTGATAACCAACCCGGCCGGTGACTTCACAACGTTACTGGCAACGCTAAGACTAAGCCCCGTAGGCGTAACAGGCGATGGAAACTGCCTACCCTACGCGGTGCTAAGAAGCGCAGGGCTAGCGGTGAACTGGGAGGCTGCCAGAACACTACGCACAGCGGCAGTCAATCATGCGCTTCTACTCACGCCGGAAGTGCAAGAGGAATTGTTGATGCGTAGATCTGAGAATCACCCAAGTGACCCGATGGGAAGTAACCTTAACCACAACCTGCGCAATTATATGTGGCCAATAATAGTAGCGCAAGCACGGTACGGGCAGCCTTACTTTGTGGATGGACAGGTAGCATGGATGCATGACAACATGCTCCACAGCATCGCCACGAGCATTGGAATGGACGTGATACTCCTCAAACGCTTGGATAATGGGCAAGTCGCGAAATTTATCGCAGTATACCGTGCTGACCTTGCCCCGCCAGTACTGAGGATCCCTCGATACAGCATTGCTGGATGGACGGCCGGCTCGATGGGCAGGAAAACACTGTCCGAGCTGATCACGGCGTCGCGTAGCGGAGGCAGGAGGACCGCGTATGTGATATCCGGTGATGCAAGCAAGACCCACTTTGAAGCTACATGTGAAATACCAGTCCAAGTGACATAATATAAGCAGGGAATACACTTGGAAAAATTGTAAGGCAAGAGATGTGGGTGAGGGGGGGGGGGTGCGGCGGCGGCGGCGGCGGCGGTGGCGACAGCGGCGTGGCAGCCTCGGCAGGTAAGCAGGCCGAGGTGGCGGCGGCGGCGGAGGCGGCGGCGGCGGCGGTGGCGGCGGCGGCGACGACGGCGGCGTTGGCGGCGGCGGCAGCGGCGGCGGCGGCGGCAATGGAGGCTGCGAAGGCGAGGGCGACGGAGACGGAGTGTGGATTTAGATGAGAACGTGGGCGCGTTCGGCAACTCAAAGGTTTTCTTTTTGTCAGTGGTGGGCCTTCAGCGCTTAGCTGAAGGTACCTGCTGGCACGGCGGATTCACTCTCGAGAGTGACGTCGTTATGAACCGACGGCGTTGAGAGACGCGGGCGGAATAAAGCATACTAATATAATTTCTTATTTGCATCCTCATTTCAGTGCAGTCGGCGTTTGTCTATCGGCGTTTTGGTATTACCGCAAGGTGACGCTCGAACTCAATAGAATGACGATCAGACACTCAGACGCTGACACCCGGGGCCACCTGGACGCAGAAACTGTGCCCCAAGCGGTAGAAGCGGCATCATATGTAACATCATATGTAAGTAACATAACAGTAGTACTCGTTAAATGCATACTTAAACTATAGCCATTTAACTATCCTCATCATCCACCACCTCTACCAGCTCCACACTTCGGCGTAGCGCGTAGGAGCCTGCGTCAGAGCGCTAAGATCAGCTTGACTTGAGACACCGCCAGCCAGAATCCCCCTTTTGTAAACATTAATATAAAAAGCGCCTATCAGAAATATAAAAGGCGCGTACAGTCATAGACGGGCATTATTGAGAAAACAGATAATCCGAGTGAAGCCCAAAGAAAATAAAAACAAGTAATTACGCACGATACATACGAACAATACCAACGACCGATACTAAATGGAAGAGAGCGCCCCTCGAATAATACCTCCACTCAGGGGTTTGTAAATCCTCGTGGTGCCGTCTCAGGTGGTAGAGGCGACCAGGTGTTCTACTCAAGAGTGCCACCCCAGACAACCGCACCAGGCCTTCCTCCAGTAATACCAAATTCCAGCGGTGTGCTTCCGCCCGATCTACGCCCTCAGCCCCTAGGGCCCGAGAAGCCAAACTCGTGCTTCGCGAGCGGCGGGACCCCATTTAATCGAATTGCTTCGTGACCGCCACCTAGGCCTGCCTAGAGCCCACCGAGATCTACCGGGCGGCGACTAGGATCTACCGCGGCGACCAGGATCTACAGGGCGGCGACCAGGCCACCTAGGGCCCGAGAAGCCAAACTCGTGCTTCGCGAGCGGCGGGACCCCATTTAATCGAATTGCTTCGTGACCGCCACCTAGGCCTGCCTAGAGCCCACCGAGATCTACCAAGAATCGACCTAGAAATAGTGCCCTCTACCCGGATTCCACCACGACCTTAGGGGTCGAACGAGATCGGCATAGCCCCGCAAGAAAATCATAGCCCAATCGAAGGGGATTCGGGTAATTAGGGAGCCGCCGCAGGCAATTAAATGGGGTCCCGGGCCCATATGGTGGTTTACACAAAAAGAAAGCGAGTGTTTTCTTAATCATTTAGCATTACATATTAAAAAGGCTGTCATAGAATTTGGCACGCGGAGGGGTGTTAAAGGTGTTTGGGCATGGCGATTAAGGCAAGGTTGCGGCCCTCAAGGAGTGAAGACAA